TCAGTCAGTGTAAGCCGCATATTCAGCTCGACAACAACGGTAATAATAATAATAATAATAATAATAATAAAGTGATCCCAAAATAATTTAGGGATGATTTCCAGATTAACTGGATTTCTGGAAAGATAGAAAGCGGATTAAATCCTTTGTGAAAGAAACGATACGGATGCGCAGCGCGTGCGAAGCCGATGGTGTCTCTCTGTAATCCGCGAGAACGTTGATACGTTACAGAACTCGGAATGGAGAAGTAGTGAGAGAGAGAGAGAGAGAGAGAGGGAGAGAGGAAAGCGTTTCGTAGCCAGGAATTATTTTAGTGGCGCGAGTTACCAGGACATGTTGACACAACCGAGGATTTAGGCACTCGAGACCCGTGCCTCGCGGCTGTCGACATGGGATTGTATTCTGAGACATAGGTACCAGCGACGATGAGGACGAGGACAACGCAATGAGAAGGCAGAATGGCCATTAAGACTTCGTATAAACAGCTTGGTGCACTTGGTTCGTGGCTTAGAGCGACATCGGGCATCGCGACTTCTCGAGTACGATCGTTAATCTCGTTGTACCACCGAGTCTTATCCGTCCTCGTCAAAATCAGAATCGTTCCTCCAGATAGGAAAACGACGACGGGAACATGTGTTTTAATTTCATGGACTTCCTTGACTTATTATATCATTTCAGAATTCCCGATGAAATTAAAAAATTGCGTTTTGAAACTTGTCATGATAATGATGATGACTCACTTTTAACGTTCACGTAAATGTTTTTTAAATCGCGAGAAATTTATGTTACAAAATAAACTATTTCGTCATTTCAAGAGATAATATTAATCATCATCATTAATTCTATAATGTCTAATGGATAGGCGTATTTATTAGGCGTATAATGATTGATTATACAAAAAGTATTTTTTTAATTATTTTGATAAGGTGTTTTTTATAGATTTTTGAATGCTGAAAAGTTTGCGATGCCGCAAGCCAAATTTTTCCAGCACTATTATTTTTTCAGATTTCCAGAATAATTGAGATTTAATATGCAAAAATGGTTTTTTTTACGATATTTGAAGATTTTTTAAATAAAAAGTTAACGATATCTTGAAATTCTGATCAGAAGTCACGAATGTGATTATTGTTTATCTTCTATAAAATATATTTTTTTAAATTTGATATCTTATTTTTTAGTAATGTTACGAAGACTTTTATTATAAGATTTTGCTAAAATAGTATACACTTTTGCTATTTTAATAAAACTCTGTATTAAAAGTTTTCATAACATAGCTAAAATATAAAAAATCAAATTAAAAAAGAATACATTTTATAGAGGATGAGCAATACATTATAACTTTTGATCAGAATTTCAAGTTACCGTTAACCTTTTTTATAAAAAAAAGCCTTCAAATCCATCCATGCTAAAAAAGGCATCGATACTCAAATATATCGAAGTTATTGTTGTTTTTTTGCGATTGGACCTCTCATTGTGCTTACTTCGCGAACGTCATCGCGAAGATCCATTTGACAATTGTATGGTAATAAAGAATTAATAATGTAACAATATTATATAATTTTTGTTTCTGTTTAAAAAGATAAATAGCATATACGCAGCGCACGTAAATGAAAAAAGAAAATTAATTAATAAATAAAACAGCAAGAAATATAAGCAACAAGAATAAATAGAAAGAGAAAATTTAAAAAAGTTGAGCAGAACCACAATTGTAAACATTAAACAATCAAATTTATGAAATAAAAAATAATTAAAGTTTCAGTAATATAGTTATAATCAATTATGGATGTAATATATACTCGTAAAGTATATAAATAAGTTATATTATAATTATATAAGTGGCGTCGTTTTATTACGTTTCTTATGCATACTTTTTTGAATAAAAAACGTAATGCAAATTTAACATTTTTGCAAATTTTAATATTTTTTTATTAATGATTTTTCTCTATATTACAATGTATTATAAGTTTCTTTTATTTTTTACTATAGATACATGGTTTTTTACTATAGATACAGATTATCCCAGTTAAATAATGGATGGCTACGGATGGCTTCAGAAGAAAAAGCAGCTTTGCAACTGTCGTAAAATCCTTTAATATGATTAGTTTATACATTAGATCCATGAAGAACTATGGCAAAAACCAATCATATCAATGATTTTTACAATGATAGTTGCGAAGCTGCTTTCTCTGCTGAACGCAGCCAATGCATTTTGATATCTCTTGAACAATACATTAAAAAAAAAATGTTTCATATAAAAATTGATAGGATTTCGAGGAGGCTATGATTGTGGTATTGGATGGAGGATATGATTGTGATATTGATTTATTTGCAGGTGACGCCACTGTCGAATTTTTTATGGTCGCCATTTTTTTAATGGATTATACATTTTTTATTACCTGGTATGATTCCTCTATTTATTTTGAATAAAAAATAATATTAAGGTACAAATGTCAAAAAATCAATAGTTTACGAGATATTTTATATTTTATTCTGGCATAATTCGGTCACCCTGTATACATATGATATGTCATGATAAGAATGTATCTATTCAACGTAAACATTTGCGGAACATGAAATGAAAAAGATTCGTCTTTACCTCATACTCCTACGTCTATTTTTTGAGAAGTTATAGCATTTTAAAAATCCGTACGTGCGCATCATGAAAAAACACTGCGCGCATTTTTTTGCTTGGATGTTCACACTTTTTTTTCCTCCCCAAAAAAGAGTAAAAACACATGTAATACAAGCGCTATGAAATACGATACGCCACCGTGAAAATGTACGCATGCATCATTTACCGGATAGATCAGATAGATCGTTATTGCGGTCGATATTGTCAATATCTTAATAATGTAAGGGTATAATTATAGTTTTTTCTCCTTTTGTTTAAAAAGATAAATAGTGCGCGCGCATCTATAGCGTCTAGTATCATAAAAAAGCCATTTTTTGCATGTTAAACCTCAATTATTTTGGAAAGCTGATACGCTGGAAAAATTTAGCTCGCGGCCAAAAATCGTTTTCAGCTTCCAAAAAATCCACAAGAAACACCTTCTAGTTCAAAATAATAATTTTTTGCCGTGAAAATCAGCGTTTTTATCGAGGGCAAATCGAATTCTCCTCGAGAATTTATCATATTTGTAGTCAGTGAACAACAGGTAGAAAATTCTACATTTATTTTGATACATCAATGTCTCGCTTACCACATTTAGTTTTTACGGTTGATAGGTGCCACCGTCCGTCCGTCCGTTGAACACGATGCGCGGTTTCGCGTTTCCTCTTTACGTGAAGTCACGAGCTGTCGGGCGGCCGCAGTAAATTCTCATCTTACTATCTCGCAAGTACGATCGGGTATCGTCGCTCGAAACATCACTGATATCGATGTGTCGGAAGGATTTACGGCCCTCGTTTATTCCTCTTCCGTTCTCGCGCGCATTGTTACGGCCGGAAGGCGGAGGAGCAAGTGCCGTAAAAATGATGACATAAAAGTAGCTTTCCGGGCGATCGAATCGCATTTTTTTCCGTCCTTCGTCGGACACGTTAATTGAATGGTTGAGGGATTATAGTTATCTCGTCCCCCATGAAGTAAAATCATCGTGAAAAGTTACGAGCGATAAATTCAAGCGTATATTTCGATGAAACAATTCGTTTTCACAATTAATCGTTCGAAATAGAATATTAACGTAATTCAGATATCAAGTATTATGGTTTCATATTTGTATTCGATATTTTTGCTCTTTAACGGTTTTTTTCTTTTTTATAATAATTTCTTATAATTATGAAAACGACGTTATAAGTAACGTCTTATAAAATTTCTTGATACACGAGCTGTTCTTTTTTTTTTAAATCCACGATAATATCCACAATAGAAAAGATGTCAGTCCCTTTTAAAGTCGACGGACAAGCTCTTGGGCAGTGACAAAGGTAATATCAAGTCTCATTAACAAGTTATGACCTTTTTCCATCTGCTCCGTCAAATTTGCTCCGTGCGGTTTAGCATGTTATTGTCGTCGGTTCTTTAAACGGTCTTGAAAAAAACTTTTCCTATATACCATGGCGCAAAGTTACGGCGGCCGTAATCTTCGCACTTTAAGAAATCGAGAAGTTTAATACGACTTTGCGCGCGATGTTTTTTAGCACGCTGAAAATAAAAATAATAATAATAATATTCCGCGGAACAACACGCTGCCATTTCTTTATCTTCTCCCCCTCCCCTTTTTTCATCGGAGCTCTCGCTCTGCTCACACACAGTTGATGTCGTTTTCAGAGTACTTATGCCACGGAACTTGGGTGGAGAACGACACTGCTTACTTGGTGGCCAGCACTGACGTTGGACGTTACTGCCTCGTTTACAGCGCGTCCGCCGCGACGACAGGAAGTCGTGAACTCTCGGTGACGGGCCATCTCGCTTCCTGTCCGAGGGCCTCTCATCGCCACCCAGTCTCGTGGCAGGTGAACCTCACGTCGTACGGTGAGCATTGTTCATTCTGAACGTAACACGCGACTCCACTTGGAATTTCGCTCTTTGTTAAATTGCTCATAATAACTGTTTCGCCTTTTCCCACCTTTTGTTTTACATATAGATATACATACATAAATGAAGAAAATAAGAAACGATGGAAATATAGAATTAATGATAACATAATTTCGTCGAGAGAAAATTTTATAAAAAAACAAAATATTTTTAATCCAATTCTGTTAAACGAGAAAACTTTGGTGAATTATAATTATTGAATAATGTTGTGATCTCATTCGCGAAAATTTTCAAAATCGAGTTGAAAATATTTTGTTTATCAAGCTGTTTTCTCTTGACGAAATTACTGATCCTGCCAATTCGGCATTTCTATTTTTTTCTTATAAAGTCTATTTTCCTCGTCTACATTTTGCACATTTTTTTCTGGTGTTTTGTTAATTACAATATTGTGTTTCAGCTCAATGCGGCGACGTCTCGTCGGGGACCATGTGGGTGCTTCGGATGCCGATATCTCTCCTCCACATCCTCTTCGGCACCCTCCTCGCCAGATACATCGCGAGGTGATGCCACTGAGCCGGGACGCGCCACACACCGGTGGCTATATAGTTGAAAGGACAAAGACTTTTATTGCGAAATAATTGCATTTGTGGTGATTATATATGACGTACGGTGCGGTAAACTAATAATCAATCTTAGGACATAAGTGAGCGCTAGCGCGTGCGTCGTGATGCAGGGATGGGTGAAGTGATTAAGAAAAAAAAAAAATAAAAAATAAAAGAGACAAGTCGGAAACGGGTAAGGTATATATACATATAGAGATGCATGTGTCAGCCCCGCGAATGTGGCAGAGTCGCGGAAGCGAGGCTTTCCGAATGTACATAAAAATCGACGCCTCCACGAAACACGCTGTTTCTTCGCACGTTGTTCTATGAGAGATCGATCGAAATAAAGATACTATGGGAAAATGAGTAATCTTAACTATTGCAAAAAAAAAAAATAGAAATATGATGCGTATACCTATATGCGATTATATAATCACATTTAAGGACGTTTCATTAATGCTGTTGTTAAAATAACGATATCTTCTTATGAAGTTGTAATAATAAAAGTAAAAAAAAATTATTTATTAATTTTAGTCTTGCAGTAAATAATTAAATTATTTATTACTGCAAGACTAAAATTAACAAATAATATTTTTTACTCTTTATTATTATAATTTCATAAAAATTTCATTACTGCAAGAAAATCTTGCATACAGCAGCTGCAAAATATTTCTTTCTCTCACTTAAACGGTATATGAATGCAATTGCAGAAATTATTTTGTAATTAAAACCCCTAACTATTGTGATTATGAAGCATGAAAATATATCGTGTTTATTTTATTCAAATAAGTTTCTTTTGCATCGCCTTCGTATTTCGGGAAACTTGTTACGTTTCTCTCGGTAAGAAGGCGAAGAACATTGCGGAATGAAAGCGTATTGCGTGGCGGATGTCTTCGTACGTAGAATCGACGTGGATATTTGCGTTTTACTGCATAATGGTGTACGTTTGCCTTTGAAGATGTGAGGAACCCAACGACGACTTATTGACACATTCAGTTTTGCGAAAAGAGCCAGTTCCACGAGGTTGAAAATAATGGACGATTCGTTCAGGCTCTTTTATCGTTTATAGGCGCCTCTCATTACGAAATTTCAGAATGCATTTATTTATTACGTCAACTTCTATATATATTCGCATTCATATATCATTAAAGCGCAATTGCAATTTCCTTGCTTTATTTGATTCTCCGATTATTGTATTTCTCTTGTTTATAATTTTATATTACAATAGCTAAATTAAATTAAACACGTCCTTTTATCGAGTACATTTACACAAATTATTACATTTTCATTGAAAAAAAAAAAACTTTTTGTAAATTATCCAATACTGATTCCACTCGAAAATGCTATGCAAATTCCTAATATTTACACTAGTCGTCGCATGAGATGATATAATAGTAAAAGAAAATAATAAGGGTGCTGGGGCCAATATTATATGAAATGAGCGTTGCTCATAGATCGAGAGGGTGTAAAAGTGAGAGAAAGATAAAAAGAAAAAGAGAAGAAAGAAAGAAACGAAATAGTAGAAGAATAGAAAGAGAAGAAGAAGAAGAAGAAGAAGAGAGAGAGAGAGAGAGAGAGAGAGAGAGAGAGAGAGAGAAAGTGATAAATCTGTAACTATTTAAAAGTAGCTCCGCCATTCATTGCCACATTCGCTGGAATGCGTTCGACGCTTCTTAGTGCGACGAGCGAAACATGTACTTACTTAGGAAAGAATAAGAGAACTGCCACGTCCAAACCTGTAATTATACGCATTTCCGTTGAAAGCTTCGTGGCACGAATCGCTCTTTGCCGTGGAGCAGAAGAAGGAGCCGCTGTAAAAAGAGAGAAACCATACGAACGATTATTACTGTAATTATTACTACTATCGCTGTTAGTACTATAAGGCAGAATAACGAGAAAACGATCTCTTTGCTCCTAAAAAAAAAAAAAAAAATTACCTCGCTTTCTTTTGTACACCTCGCGGGAGAGATATTTACCGAGGGAACCTGTAAGCACTCTGTAAAAATTATACTGATCCGCCATTGAACTTTAATCCTCGTGCGATGAATGTGAGGTCGAATATACCTGCTGTACGCCATTGAGAATTTCTGTAAAGTGATCGAGAAACTTGCATATAAAGATTTGAGATGGTAACAATCTGAGAAAAGTATGAAATATCACTGCCATCCATTTTCTTTGTTAAAAAGGATATAAAAGTAACAGCCAAAACAACATAACGCAACAAATAAATAGAACAAACGATTAATTCGATTAATCTAATGCTCGAACAGAATTATTACGCTAGTGAAAAAACTGAGAGAGATATAATTTTGAAGAATTTAAAAGTTCTTGAATGAATGTTGAATTAATTAATTTAATTCAATCAGAATCTTTTTTAATGATTCTACGCGACGCTAATCGAAATGTTGAAGACATAAGATAAGGAAAGAAGTGCAATTTAGAAATAATATTATTCAATTTAATTATCAAATGATCACGTGACGGAAGATCATTGCAACATATCGCTATCGAGAAAAAAAATAGGCAATAGTTTATGTGTGCGATATAATAATAATTAATATTCAGATCTCTCTTTGTAAAATAAAAGAATTTGAAATTGTTAAAATAGGATAATTATTTCGATTAAGAGTGCCAGCTTAAATCGAAACAATTTCTGTTGTTAATAACTTTTTAATAAACAATTAACTAAAATCTTTGGAATGATGCTCAGAATCAGAATCTTAACAATATATGTCAAAATGATGGAGGATTGGCTCCCTTGATCGAAATAATTACGCAATTTTAAGCAAATAATTAATTGTTTAATTTTTAAGCTAATTGAATTTTGTTAAATATATTTTACAGCGTTATTGTATAGAAAAAAAAAGAAAGTCTTATGAGAAACGACGACAGTGCGATCGTTTGATACGATCCTCTGACAGAAACCAACATGTCGACAAAATAAACATATTTTTTATTCGAGCTATTTTACTTAAAATTTTTCTGATCGCAAGACGGAGGGCGTAAACGGTATTCGACCGCCTATCAATCGATTATACACACATATACTTGAACAGTTAGATATACGCAACAAGTATAAATATATAAATATATTACGCAACAATTCGATGTTGGCTATAAATTGTACACTATTAGATAAACTGAACAAAATGTAGGGAATGATAAGAATATATATAGTCGACGATCGAAGGTAAAGTACCGATTCAGCGTTCGATTCCTTCTCAACGTAATCCTTTATAGATGGTCCGCTATATACGAGAGACTTATTTCTCTTAATTCTTTTCTTATAGTAAAGAATTACAGTGTATTATAATGATTTGTTCGACAATGATTATTCATGTTCTAATTACTCAATTTGAATCGCGTGTGAAATTTTGCAAGAACGTTATTGATGATTGCAAAATGCCGATTGTTCTCACTATAAAGATACAGTTGTTATATTTACTTGGACAACTGTGATCTCTCTCTCTCTCTCTCTCTCTCTCTCTCTCTCTCTCTTCTCTTCTAC